ATGTACCAAATGATCATCATAGGGACTCTTAATTAAAAGCATGTACGCATACACACACCTAAGGTCTATATAAGTAGATCTTGCACTCACGCACGCACACACGCCCCCCCCCCCCCCAGACACACACACGCACATGTAAGTATAAATGGATTTTGAAAAACTTGTTTAAGAAATATTTTGACTTGCAAGCATCCTCTTCCTATGATGTCTCATCTAAGATTTTCTTTTTCTTTTTCTTTTCCTGTTTATGTGTAAATAGACAACTGTTTTTAGGTTACAGTTCTTTTGGTTGCAAGAATTTCAGTTGTATGACTGCTTATAGTAATACATGTCTGAAAGTGCCCGAAAAATCCTAAATGAAATGTGTATTCGTCACAAATATACAAAAGAAAATATATACATGCACACGCACGTACGCATTCACACACACAGACCCTGTGTGTGTGTGTGCGCGCGCGTGTGCATGTGTGTGCGTGCGTGCGTACTATATTCTGATGACTGTATATATCGTTTTCTCTTTTCGCAGACATGCCTATGCCACCAAGGAAACCGCCACAATAAGAAATTGTTGACCAAAGGTTTTGGTCACAGTATTTTAACAAAAATCATTTTACTCTTTATGGTTTTAACTTTTTAAATAATCATATATTTTGATAGACTGAACGCAAACCCACCATCTTGGATAAAGTTAAAGCAGATGAAAATAATAAAATTGCATAATGACGAACTGTATTTTTATTCTGCAAATGGGTCATTCCATACCAAATCATCATCACCATTTAACCCCACCCCTCAGAATAGCCTCAAATTTGGTTTACTGATAAATATCTATGAGTTAGAGAAGAATGTCGAAAATTTTTGAGAAATTCCATCTAGTTTGGATTTTATGGACCATTTCATTTTTTGATGATTAATCTTAGTAAGAGTTGATCCATTTGGATTTATTGGAAAAGACTAAAATTATTTTTATAGGCAATTAAGCACATAGCACTGCAGTACAGCCATACACAAGGAGTTACAGGTATCTCTTAAAAGACTCTATGTTTCCGTTAAAGACACTTGAGCATTAATCCTCCATTATCAAAGACAAAAGGGAAATGAGTTGCTTACCTTATTGTTGATGTCTTCTAGAAGTTTTGTGATAACTTCAGGTCCTACAGACAACTGATTTTCATTTGATTGCTAGTATGTACCAAAGCATCCTTTGCACCACTTGTGGGAATAATCTACTGGAGCATGCTCAGTGACGTTTTTTACCAAACATAATTTTTCATACAATTAATAAAACTTTGAAGAAATTTGCTATATAATATGATAAAAGCCAATATTTGTGATTTCAAGCTAAATTCCAATGATACATGTACTCTGCAAGGATGGGTAGTGTTATAGAAACCATTACACAGAAGGTTACGAATTCGAAAAATGGTCAGATTTTCCAACCCAATTTGAGTAGGAAGGAGTTAAGACCCCAAGCTACCTTTTGGTCTACTACATGATTGTTCTATGTAGATTTTGGAAACATAATAAAAAAAGTTTGTAAAAGGTATGCCTCTTGGGGAAAAAAATCAATTTTTGACCACCACCAAAATATTTTGCCAGAAACCTACATCAGTTTATTGTAAGGTGGCATTGTCCTGGTGCTAGATATGACTTTCTAAGTGTTATTT